CTAACTAACACGCTCACACACGTTTGCTGGAAATCCAAGCCTCTCCCTCCTTCCACTTATAGTACAACTGTGGGGACACACAGCCTAGGAAAAATAGAAAAAAGGTTTGGAGGGAAAATATTGGGATTTTTCCATGAGACTGTTGCAATGTTATGCTTCCCCTACCACATATTTTATAAATATACACATTATGTATTATGTTATATAGTACACATAGTTTAAAGATTAAACTGATAATAAAAAATTATTTTTGTGATGGGAGGGAGAGTGTGAGGGACTGGTGAATCTGCCACTTTTTTCTTAATCTCCCTTCAAAGGGACGCTGGTGGAGGTCTCTTGATCCAAGAAATTAGAGCTACCCTTTCCTTCCTTGCAACAAACCTGATTACCTCCCATTTCTCAGGTGCTATATGAGCCATTCTGGTTTATCACTTCCCCATTATTATTATTACAACAATCAGAACTAAGCACTAAACCCACAAGGGTTACACAAAGCGTTTACCCATGAAAATAATGACAGTTAATCAAACCAAGATGCGATGATGATAAGGATAATAATAACCTGAGAAAATAAACACCGCTAATTAACAATTTCCGTTTACCACCCTCAAAAAACGAACAAATATATTATTTGTTTGTTTGCCAGGCGCGGCCAAGTCACCGGCACATGTGCAATGTTTTCCAATGGTAACTCAAGACGTTAATGAATAAACAGTGGATAGAAGAGAGCAGAGTAGAAGTGTGCCTGATGGGAAGAGATGAGACATGATTTGACCCTTTGGTCATCTGGCACCTCAGGGTGGGGGGTAGAGACATGACAGGACCTCATATATGCACGTCCTAGTGAGGCTACCTCGGGTGTGGGTAACTACTGATGCTTCCGGGCATCATCGCCCCAGCAACACTGTCTTGGCTCACGCCTCCTGATTGATGGCGTGAACCGAGCAGCAAGGGTGATCACTCTTGGAAGCATCAGCAGGTTGGTAGGCAAAGCACGAAGTATGCAACACCGGCTCAACGCCCGTGTTGCATACTTTGTGAAAGCTTGCAAAAATCCAGAGTTCGCAAAAAAGTTTCGAAACTGAGGGAGATGCATTCTACAAAGAGACTAAAGGAAATCTTTGAGATGTGTGGAGTAGGTACAAGGGAGCAAAGATGGAAACTAAAGACAGAATTCGAAGGGATGTCAGAAAGTACTCATTCATTTACATGGTGATATGAAAGTGGAATGAGGTAGATGAGAAACTGTGAAAACTTCATACACATTTTCAAGATATGAAGAGGCCCATGAGGCTAGGAACTAATCCCGATGGTTGTCCGAGAGCTGAGAATCGACCCCCTCAAACACAAAAAGTTGAGTACAAAGTAACCATGAAAAATTATTTTATATCAAATACATGTATTACATGAACATCTGAAGACTTTTAATAAAAAGTAAAAGTATAAAAAATATTTCAGAACGAGGAAACATAAAGAAGATATCTTGGTTGCAGTAAACGTGCCTCTGTCATGAAGCAGAAGAGATGATAACTAGTTACTAGTTTATCAAAACAGGATCAAACACACAAAACCTCTCGCAAGTTACTACTGGAAGGAGACAATTTTATAATGCGTAAAACCTCCCTAAAAACAACGAGAGATATTTTGCCTACAATTAAAAGGTAGATACTTAAAATTTATTCCTAAGGAGGTTGTGTGGAACTACTGATAAAGGTAATATGATGAAACACCTGAACATACGGACACCACGAGCTCTGCTGTACACCTGTAACTACAAATAGTAGTTACAGGTCTACATACTATGTGCAAACGAGGCAATGTGTAGGCTGGAACCAGAGTCAACTAGGTGCACACTCGCATACCTCAACCCCTGGTAGGCTGGAAACTGGATGCATCACTCAACCCCTAGTAGGCTGGAACCTGGATGCATCAAACACCCACACATCTCGGTTAACATACACACCGCTATAGAGTGGTACCGCAGAGAACTCTGGAAGACTGGAATGGCTGTACTCACTTTGCCGAAGGTCCTGGCGTAGGTACCGGTGAGGAGGGAGTGGAAGATGATGATGGTCTCGTCCAGGTCCCAGATGTACACCCGCTCCACTTTGTTTTCCGGGTCCGGCGAGGGATTGCTGCGCCGAGACCGTCCGTTCCGCGACCTCGACGCTGTTACAGCAAGAAATAAAACGTACACTTAGCTGACATAAGGCCCTCTCGCAGCTTGTGCTGCAAAATATACGAGTTAGTGATGAAAAAACCTACCTGCGGGGCTGAAAAGTCTGTCTTGGGATTACTAAACAACTGATTGAGCCTCCACCACTCCCAAGAGAGTTTAGCGCTTCGAGCCTCCACCACTCCCAAGAGAGTTTAGCGCTTCATCTAAATATATACTAGTTAGCTGGTATCTTAAGAAGTACTTACGGTTACCTTGCTTACTACCACTCTCCTAATCTTAGTTAGGAATTGGAGGTACCACCTCCTTCCTTAGATCAAATGTCTAAAAAAGTCATCCTCTCCAAGATACGTTTACGTGTAACCTCACACAGCAGTACTTGCATTCTACTACTCTCTAAGCTATGCTTACCTCACCTATGGTATTTGTACCTGGGGATCTATGTCAAATCACGTCAACAAAAAGCGTCTGTGCGAACGACTACCCACTTTTCAAAAGGTTGGACTTACTTAATATACACAATAAGCACTCGTACTACTCTGCTCAATATATATGTCGTGTCGAATAGGTAAAACTTGCGATTTTGGCTTAAATAGCAACGCTCTTCTTGCCGAATAAGGCAAGCAAAAATTTGTGTATGCACATTCTGAACCTAACCAGAAAAAATATTTCATTGTGTGTATTAAATTATTGTAAACCTATCTAAAATATATTTAGTTGGATTAGGTCAAATTACTCTTGTAATAATGTTAGGTAAGTTTTCTAAGGTTCTTTTGGTACAACAAAATTATTAATTTTTACATTAACATAAATGAAAAAAATATATATATCTTTATAAGTATAAGAGAAATTTTTTTGAAAGGACTTAATTTTAAACTCTTCCTTGATAGCTGCAACAGAATTCACAGGAATAACACAAGACAAAAACCTCTGATATTTCCCGTGTTCGAATTAATCTGAAGTTTTTCGATGCGCGTGAAAGGCCTTGAAACCCGAACTCCTTGCCTGAAGTTTCAGAAGGTCCCGTATCTACCAATAGCTTCAGAGTACCTCATCTCCTTGGTGTAATCTTGACAGCAAACACTATGTCAAACAAAACCTGTTTTCTTGCAATTATGTCCGTTCTTTTTTTTCAGTCTTTCTTCAACTCCCATATATAAGTAGTAACATATATTGTCCCATTATATTTCTATTATAATTTAAGTAACTTGTTGTATTTTTTAATCACTACATAAAACTGAAGGTCAATGCACCAACTGTCATTTGCATCCTTTCTTATTGTACTTTTGACTGTAGTTACTTAAACAAGATGTCATAAAAACTAGACACAGCCTATTATGTAACATGTAAGCTTCATGATTAGTTACCCGAAATTGCATTCTATATTTAGTGGCATTCTTTTGTGCCTACTATTTTACTAATTCATGTATCTACATTACTCGTATGGTTCAGAGAAATAAATCATTATCAAGTGCTTCCCATTCCCCTAGCGTTTCTCCGTTAATATAATAGCAATATCAGTGGTATTCAATACCGACAAGATGATGGCTAAGACACATGCGCAACATCTGTGTATCTTTACTTGAAGATGTTTCGCCTTCCAGTGGCTTTCTATTTTATAGGGTATCTTGTAGACGTTTCGCCACTGGATAGCGAAACGTCTACAAGATACCCAGATATTGCACAGGTGTCTAATTCATCGTGATAACAATAGCCTAGTTAGGATGGCAGCCATTGTTCGGCCCAGCTGTCTTTAGTCTGCACCCTTCCTAATTTGAAGATTCTGGTTAGTTAACTACATAGAACAACCTATAGTTAGGACGCCCTTTAGGTAGCCTCGACCGTCAGTGTGTTTGGAAACTCCTCTAGTTAGTGGGTAATATGATCACAGACGCTGTGGTTACGTTGTGGTTAAGACACAGACAAGATAGATCCGACATTCCTGTGGGTAATAATGACACTGGCGCAGGCATCATGAGGTGACAGTCACGAAGCGGTGATCATAACAAGAAAGAAGGAATAATAAGTAAAACTAGAATAAATAAAGATGAGGAGGGGAAGGAGAATGATGATTTATATTATTATTATAATTATTATTATTATATTTATGCTAAACTCTAAACCTGTGTGGGTATTCAGTGCAAGGAATGGTGGAGGATCACTCCTCTGTCTGCGAATCGCAGCCAGCCAAGCTAAAGAAAGAGATGAAGAGAAGAATGTACAGAAGAAAAATGTAGAGGAGAAACCAGAAGAGGCCTATAATAGGCAATTACCAAGGAAGACCTACCTGGTGCTTACACAGGTGCACTGTTCTCCGGGATTCAATCATACTACCTCGGGCAAGGAAGGATTATGCAGTTAAACGGACCACTCCAGCCAGTGGCACCACAATGACTTTTTACCACGCGTTTATCAGGATGTGTTTCGAAAGTGGTTTGCGGTGAAATTTTACTCCGAAAATTGGACCAGATCCGAAATCGACAAAATTTTGCAGTACACGTTAATGCTACGATTTTATAATGAATTAATTCAAACAAAACTAAAAATTCAATGAGAGAATAGTTCACAAAACGTAAACCAAGACGATAACATTAAAGAAATTTAAATGTCCTACTACGGGCCAAGCCATGAAGGTCCCTCTTTTTCACGTCAAGTCTTTCTACGTTCCTGAGTATACGTCGGTGGGTCGACTAGTCAGTCTCGCGGTAACTTGGGGTCTCCTACAAAGGCTTCTTTATAATCATCTGAGGCCCGTTAAGGAAAAGAAAGAGACCCGTATATACATAAGCTCTGAAGATGAATCCCTTCACCAAACTATGAACATATTAAGTTTGAAACAGGCGGCTGGAGTTTGTGCAGCCTTTTTCAAGTAAGAAGCCGTAGTGTGTGTAAGCGCATCCTCTTTCAATATTCCCTCTTAGGGGAGGAGGAGGCGAGGCTGAGCAGGTGTGGTTGGGGAGGATGTGAGGTGAGGTCGAGGGAGGGGAGGTAAGATTGGGGTTATTGAGGGGAAAGTAGGACTAGGACTCCACCCCACAAGATTCAACCTCGAGTAACTTGGAACACAGAAACTGCAAGACTCAAATTATTTTTTGTTGCGAATACAACTATTATTAAGACTACAGCTATTTTTATTACTATTAATAATATTATTATAATTACTATTAAGTAGTTAGTGTGAGCGCCTGACGTCTCTTCCCGCCTTTCTGCCCTGTTTTTAACTTGATTTTATTGACGAAGCCGCAGCCATAAAAATGGAGGACACACACACACACACACACACACACAGAGAGAGAGAGAGAGAGAGAGAGAGAGAGAGAGAGAGAGAAGAGAGAGAGAGAGAGAGAGAGAGAGAGAGAGAGAGAGTGAGAGAGAGAGTGAGAGAGAGAGAGAGTGAGAGAGAGAGAGAGAGAGAGAGAGAGAGAGAGAGAGAGAGAGAGAGAGAGAGAGAGAGAGAGAGAGAGAGAGAGAGAGAGAGAGATCAGTGTATGACATGAATATTAACGAGACACCAAGCTAGCAATATCTGAAGAGAAAACCAAATAACCTCTTCAAGAATATATTTTTACGATGCAATTCAGTGAGACTATTTTTGTAGTGAAAAAAAAAAAAATAAAAGACTAGAAAAAGCTTTGTGAATTCATTTAAATACGACCGAACTTCCGGTAGCCCCTCTAAATCCTAATAAATATCCCAAATAGTTCGGCATTTACTTACCAACGGCGCCTAGCATTTGAAGATTCGCCCATCAGCAGAAAACAATTCGCTATACCTGGTGAGTCTACCCTGGAGGGGATTCCGGGGATCAACGCCCCCGCGGCCCGGTCCACGTCTAGGCTTCCCAGTGGATCAGGGCCTGAACAATGAGGCTGTTGCTGCTGGCCGCACATAGTCCAACGCAAGGACCACAGCCCGGTTGATCCGGCACCGACTTTAAGTATCTGTCCAGCTCCCTCTTGAAGGTAGCCAGGGGTCTATTGGCAATTCCCCTTATGCATGGTGGGAGGCTGTTGAACAGTCTTGGACCCCGGACACTTATGGTGTTTTCTCTTAGTGTACCAATGGCGCCCCTACTTTTCATTAGGGGTATTTTGCACCGCCTGCCCAGTCTTTTATTTTCGTAGGGAGTGATATCCGTCTGCAGATTCGGGACCATTCCTTCTAGGATTTTCCATGTGTAGATTATATCTCTCTCTCGCCTGCGTTCCAGCGAGTACAAGTCAAGTGCTTCCAAGCGCTCCCAGCAGTTGAGGTGTTTGATGGATCTTATATGTGCAGATCGGCAATTTCACCTGCTTTGAACGGAGATTTTAATGTACAGCAGTATTCCAGCCTACAGAGAACAAGTGACTTGAAAAGGATCGTCATTGACTTGGCATCTCTTGTTCTGCACGCTCTCAATATAACCTCCAGGTATCCTATCATTTTCTTTGCAGCTGTGATCGTGGCACTGTTGTGATCCTCGAGAGTGAGGTCCTCAGGCACCACCACTCCCAGAACCCTCGCATTATTTTTTCCGCTCTACTGTATGATCCGAGTTTGTAGTGTACTCGGCTCTTGTTATTATCTCCTCCAGTTTTCCATAACGGAGTAGTTGGAATTTCTCTTCACTGATCATACTGTTTTCCGTTCCCCATTGGAAAATCTGGTTTATATCTTCTTGGAGGTTAACCGTGTCCTCTATAGAAGACAGTCTCATGCAGATCCTAGTATCGTCTGCAAAGGATGACACTGCTGTGGATTACATCTCTGTCTAATATGAGGATGAGGAACAGGGTGGGGGGGGGGCGAGAACTGTGCCTTGTGGAACAGCTTTTCACTATGGGAGCTTCCGATTTACCTCTATTTACCACTACTCTCTGTTCGATTGGTTAGAAAGTTGAAGATCTATCTCCGTACTATGCCAGTTATTCCGTTGGCACGTATTTTGTGCGCTATTACGCCATGATCGCACTTGTCAAAGGCTTTTGCAAGGCTGAATATATTACATCCGCATTCTGTTTTTCTTCAAGTGCATCCAAGACCATAATTATGAAATTTTCATGTTTTTTCCACTAAAAGCAGCCTACTCTTTCTGAAATATACGTACTACTAGCCTAATTTACCTAAGCAATCTAAGAATCTGCATAACCTTTGTTAACTGCTTAGGAGAGGAGAAAAGGGCTCTTCACGTGACTCCTGGTTGCTTCTTTGACAATACAATGCAAGCAAATATTTGAGTTAAGGTACAGTAAAAATGATAAAATGCACTACTGACCTGTGTCTTTTAGTGGAGACGCCGGACTGTCCACTCCTTGAAAACCAGCCGTGTCTGTTTACAGGAC